TGTAGACTGGTCGATGTTAACCAGCGTTTCGGAGGTCATACTGCCTCCGTCATCAGGGCAGTATGACCTCTGAAACGTTGGTTAACATCGACCAGTCTACAGAGCGCAACAACCCAGAAGACAGAAATCTTCATACTCACCGCTGTGAAAACCTCAAATCTTACATGAAAGACAAGTGTTTGCCAATATTGAGGAACATTATAACAAAGTTATTTTCTAAAAATAACACGCAACAGATGTTCGTCAAGATTGGTGCATTTTCCATTACGTGCACTAACATGGCCGGTAATATAGCATTAATATCTTCATAAATTTACTGCTCATCATTCAAAGAACACTTAAGCACTGTGCTTAAACATCATATCATTTCCTGCTATGGCGACACTTTCTGGCTAGCTTGCACACCTAATCTGTCTTCGTGTTCTTTCTTTTTATGGGGTTACTTGAAAAGCAACGTCTTTCAAAGATGTCTGGAAGACTTAAATAATCAAAAACAAAGAATTTCTGAAGAAATTAATGCCATATCACCAGCCACGTTACTGTGCATACTGAAAGTGTTATGGATTGAGGGCATCGGCAAATCAATCTTGACGGGCAGGTGACGGGAGATACTTTTATAAGAAACTTTGTAAAAAACGTTCCTCAATAATAAACCGATACATTCAGGCTCTGATCACTTTAAACTGTGAAGGGCTGATGCTCTTGCCCTGTTGCTATCTTGCATGCTTTGAAATGAAAAATACACATGACACCATTATTACGCAAATCCCTAACATATTTGAGTATCTTCAAGCTCAGGGAATCGTCCACTTTTTGGCCCTCAAAATTCTTTCCTGCAATTGTTTGTAGTTTCTAGAAGAGCATCTTTCAGCTTCCCCCCAATAGTGCACGCTGAATTCCAACACAGTTATCTGAAGACTGCTACATTACAGAATTTGATCCCAGATCTGATTAAAATTAAATTTGTGCTGAAGAATTAAGACTAAATAAACAGTCAAGTATTATTCTAATTCCATCATAAAGGAACCAACAGTTAAAACAATTTATTAATTCTGAGATGCATTAAACTTACTATATGGTTGAGAAAAAGTATGTACCACACAGTTAAGGAAAAAGATACAGTACAGTAACAGAAGAAATTAAAATGTAACAAGACATGAACAGGTAACAAAACCTTCTCTATCTACTTTCTCTCCCTCTCCCACTCTAGCCCACGTGCTACCGTTGGTCCACTCCCATGCCTGCTCCCATTGGCTCGGGGCAGGCTACACCTTTCACTTCCTGGTCTATAAATCCAGCTCCTCACACCCTATTGGCATATTCATCGCCCTGATGACGGAGGCAGTATGACCTCTGAAACGTTGGTTAACATCGACCAGACTACACAGCGCAACAACCCAGAAGACAGAAATCCTCATACTCACCGCTGTGAGAACCTCAAGTCTTACAAAACCACGTTCATTTGCAAAACTATTTCTAACGCTGTGTGGTAGACAGAATTATAGTGACTAACAGTGTTAATTCTGATCCTAAGGTCAACTATCAATTCAACTGCCTGTATTTCACAGATATTAAAAAAATAACAGTAAGTTCTGGGAAGAATTATGATGTTACTTTCCTTCATATATGTCATTATGCACGGTGAGGCGATTAATAACAATTCTAGAGCAGATTACCATTATGTTAAACATGTAAAACTTTTGCAACATCACCATGTCTGTAATTGTCAAAATATTTTTTTAATAAATATTCAGAACATGTAGGTACATTTAAGATCTACAAACGAAATTTCACAAGTCCAGCTCCAACATTTCATTACTTACCACCATAAAATGTATGTCTAAATACAAATTTCGCACACCAGAAATGTATCTTAATATCATTTGGGGATTATTTACAGATCTACTGTCAGTTAAAATGTAAGGATTTCACTAAGGCCAGTAACGCCTCTGAACTTCGCGTGGTCAACACGGTGGTTTTAATGTCGCAAGGAAAACAGAAGTAGACAGCTTACTTTTTTGCACTGTTCACAAAACATATATCACATATACAAGGTTACTCCATCTAAAATCATCAAATTTTGCCAACCATCTGTGGCACCTGAACTTATTATTTTAAACATCTCAGTCAGGCAATCCTAGTAGACACAGCCATCGGTGTCCCTAAAGCCTCTTCTGATTTTACCCAAAAAATTTCAGAAGTAGGGGTTCTCGTTCTTGAAAAAACCGTCTGAAGCCATTTTCGTTACTGAAGCATCAGAAGTTTCGAGTCACTTGAAAAGCCAAAGTTCCATTTCAAGATTCATAACTTGAAACTTTGGCTTTTTGGTTGTCGCATTCCTTTCCGGCAAAGGTCGTAGTCTAGGGAGTGTATTTCATTAATTACAATGGAATGGCTATGAACGTCTCTCAACAAACATACTATTTCAAGTTCCAGCCCCCGAGTGACCCACATGGATTCCGTCCATGCCGCCGCGGGCGTAAAAGGCATCAGTAATTCCTGTAAGCTAGCAATCAGGTGCAGAGTTCCAGATTTCATCAAATAAATTTCTGAGTTGTTACCTGACAAACTATATGTCAGTAAGGTTGCTGCCACCTACGTTAATTGACAAAAGAATAGCGCTTATTATCAAGTCCCACTCAGTTTGTCCTACATTAATCTCCTGAACTGCCTACAAGTATCTGTTTTGGTCACCAGGTTTTTGGCTGGGGGGGTTGACAGACTCTTCAGGGTCACTGATTTTGGTCATATGAGATCGACCCATTCGAAGCACGCGCTAGAGGGGTGTCAGCTTCAGTTGGTTTGTAGGTCTAGCTGTGTTTTGATCGGTGCGTCACCGCAGCTGAGGCTGTGTGACCCCCACTGCTACTGAACTCCCCTCTCTCGGCTAACACATCGCGCATTTAGGTGCCACCACTACTCACGCAACCACTATCTTGATACACTACTGGTTACTGCCAAAAGAGGAAAAAAGTAAGTGAGCCAACTAAGAGACATTTTTTCGAGACTTCAAGTTGCGATTTTCGCCTTGGACGCCATCAAACTAGCTCTGGGGGTCGAAGAAGTTGCTGACAATGCTGACATATGCAATGGTGAAGTTTTATTCATTGAATGTGTGGATACAACTTTTTGGGGCATCTATATAGTATAAGGTATTGACAGAGTCGTTAAATAAACCTCATATGAAACAGTGACAAGACTACAGCGTCCAACCTGGCTCCTATCCAATGGATACTGGGGGTCGTTTCCCAGGGGTAAAGTGGCAAGGGTATGAAGCTAACCACTAAACTCCATCTGGTGCTGAGGATAAGAATATGCAGCGCTATATTTTCACTCCTGCATACATCTGCATCACATGGTGCTTACCTAAGCACTATACCATTAATAATGCATATAACCTACCCCATCTGTAAAACAATGTTGGACAGAAGAATGGACACTTGTGAACAACCCCAGTAACTTCCAAAAATAAAGTATAAAATTATCCATGAGCATTGTTCATAAAGCAACCATGTTAAGTAAAACAACATGCCTACTTTACTACTACACAGACTTCCAGCCGGACAAACCCTGTGTTATAAAAGTTATATTCAGGTAATGCAAGTTTATAATCCAATAATTAGAATGAAATTTAATTTGGCTACAATACGACCAGTCATCAGAAATGTTGCCAGTCACACAGCATAGAAATTCCAAAATTTCTCTTACTTTTTAAATATCTTTTGTATTTTATTAAACATACATTTCATAAAAGTTAAGCTTCTAGGAAAATCTAAAATTTATGCCATCTATAACTCTTTTGTACTATGAGCTGTGTTTTTATAAAATATGCAGAGCATTGCTTTATACTGGAACATTAAATATAACTTATAATTCATACTATGAGAACAGCATGTATTGTCCCCACTCATAAGAAAACTGTCTCAACTTTAACCTTTTCTGTAGCTATCAAAATTAGGATTTCAAATAGCAAATTCAGTATTACTTGCTCCCGACCCATGATATTTTCCAAATTTCAAAAACAAAAAATCAGTAATCAATAAGAGGATAAAACATTAGGTTTCAATAAAACGTAATTATAGAATATCCATTGGATAAACCTTAACTCACCCAGAGCAATCCACCAACAGCATTGTACCCTGGCCTTTCACAACTTCAGCGGCCTCCCTAAATATTTTGATGATATTTGATGCCTGCTTCAAAGAACTGACATAACACACCAGGACATTATTCTTAGTGCGAAGGATCTTTTTGAAATCTTTTATGTCTGTCAGCCCCTCCATTGTTATTTTCTGAGCATTTTGTTTGGTCTGGAAGTTCTGCATTCCATAAATAAATGTCTGTAATAAAACAAGTCGAAAATAAACACAAGTGATATGGGGGTTCTTACCTAAATGGATCTTTCTCCAGCAAAGCATAATGTAACTTGTTTATTTACATTCAAAATTTATTCTACCTACAATTTTAATTATTACATGAAAATGTATTGATTCCTGTAATCACAGGTTGAAGCTCATATCTATCACAAAATACCTGAAAGATATCCAAATCACTGTAATGAAGTCCGTACTAAATTTAGAATACAATCGAAATAAAGACTGTTAATCTAGTAACAACCAAAATTCACTAAAGGAAATACTGAAACATACAAACTCAAGTCATTAAGGAAGCTAAATGTATGCATTACAATAAACAGATTAAAGCTAGATAATAAATGTAAAACATAACTAACTAACTAGATGGCTTACCGAACCCGAAGGTTCATCACCGAATTAACCAAAGCCCTCCACCGGACCCTGTCCTGGGCCAACAAAATCCAGTCTCCTTCAACTCCTATCTCCCATAGATCCCACCTGAGATTATCCTCCCATCTACGTCTAGGTCTCCCCAGAGGTCTCTCCCCCTCAGGCTTCCTCCCGCCTGAGATTATCCTCCCATCTAC